CACTATGATCGCTCAGGTCGCTCGTTGGGTAAGACAAATGCTTACATATTATCTGTACACTGTCTTACATAATATGTTTTTATACTTTCGTATAGGCACCGCTGATGTTATATTTGAGCGTCGTTCTGATGCCCTTAAAGCAATCAAGCAGTATCATGGTGTGCCCTTGGACGGTCGTCCCATGAGCATTCAACTTGCCGTATCAGATGTTGCCGCACTTACACGTGCAGTGCCAGCCGATGATGTGAAACGTCGTGTGGGCAACGCCCCAGGTTCGCAATTTAAACGTGGTGGTATGTACAAATAAAAAGAAAAGGAATTTTTTCTATATCACGAATTTTTTATCTTTAATATTAGGTGGCCAAGCCGGTGGCGGACCACGTCGTGGAAGTTTCCGACGCCCAGCTGGTGCAAAACCAGCTGGTGGCGGCCAACGTCGCGAGAGAAAAGCTGCTCCAACTGCTGAAGAACTAGATGCTGAATTAGATTCGTATATTAATGACATGAAGATCTAATTAGATTTAGTCTGAACACTTAGCCTAAACACACAATAATGGACTTAATATAATGGTTCAACAACAAGAACAATTCAACGAACCGAACTTGTTCGAGAACAGCTTTAGTCATAAAATTTTGCATAATTTTTCATTTAAATTATTCATAACTCTGTTTGGGTACGCGCATTAAATGATTTGTTGTTAAATATCTCGATGTGGCGCCCTTCTAGGTAATAATTCATAAATACATACTGATTGATGTATTTATTCGTAAACTAATTTTACTTCATAAAACACATTGACACAACAGTCATAATAATTGTATAATCAGGTATAATAAATATTAGATTTAATACGAAAACTCAAGATAAATCACTGTATAATTTGAATGTATGTCCTCAAATGTACGTGCCACTAGGATAAAGCATTTCAGACCCTGACAAATATATAAAAAGGAAGACAAATTGTGTGTTTTAACTATTTTTAGAGCAGTATTGCTCGGACAAACATGTATATTATTCAACAGGTAATGTTGAATGACATGGACTAGATTTCCCATTTAATAGATCACAGGTGAATTTTGTATATCCTTACCTTACACATTCTGAGTCAGAATATAACAAATCAATTTAAATTTTAAATGTTAGTTTAATTTATATTTATTTTGTTGCAATAATACATATGTGTAATTATAAAAGAATGTAGAACATATTTTGCAGACTGATTCAAATTTCAATTGGACACTTAAGTACAAATGCAAAGTTTGGTTCGATTCTCTAATGTATGTATGTGCATTAAAGTAGTTTCTTTTATCGGGGCGGATTCGCGAGTCACTTAATGTTTAAACAATCGTGTATGTCGACATAAATAGTTTGCTTAGTAGAACAAAAATAAAACGTAATATTAAGAAAATCAGAGAGTGCGAATAAGTTCTGCAATCAAATCGCAGTATTTTTTTTAAACATTTTGCATATTGGCCAATTTGGAATTTAAATATGAAGGCATAAGCTATATATGTATATATTAAGCGATTTATATTTATATATGAATAATGGGACTGAGGATGTGTTTGTGTGTGAAAGTGTATGCATATGCGTGGTGTGTAAGAGCGTCAATAAATGCGTAGCCACACATCTAAACTAATTTCCAGGGTTTCTCTACCAGAAACCGCCCGATGAGTAACCACCGGGTGGAACACGTCCGCGCGCCTGATCATTTGTCGCCTTGTTGCCATTGGTACTGGGCGTCTCTTTGGGCGGGCTGACAGGTGGTGCTGGTTTTGGCTCCTCCTTTTGATTGGCTGCCTCATCACGTAGTTTTTCCACTACTTTGTTTGCATCGGTTGAGCCAATGCAAGCATTTAAATTGGAAGAGTTTTGCTGATTGAATTTGGGACGTGGTGCATTCACAGAAATTTCAGGCTCCGAAAAGATGTTCGTATGTCCGCCACCTGGGGGCTTGAGCACGCGACTGGAAGGACGAGCACTTGTACTCAAACCAATTTTAAGTTCGGTGGATGTCATTATAACTGTTTATTAGTTTTAGCTGAAATCGAAAAAAAAATAACGATTAAACATATTAATAGTACAAAGATAAACAGAGAATGCATTGTTATAAAGCCAGCAAATAGCAAGTTTTATTATTAAAAAAAAAACCTTTTTTTAGAGATACTTTCTAGAGAGACTGTAAATGCGAATTTATTTATCTAGTATGTCCAAATGTACATACAGAATACAAAACCGTCACGCCTCTTACAAAAGCTGAAAAATAATGTAGTAACAATGTTGACTGGCATCGGCCAACTGAACCATGGGGAAAATGCCAGAATAGAGAGAAACGTTTAACAACAACAGATGCAGAAAACAGCAGAATGGAACATTCGCACTAGCATTTCCCCTCATGCCCTTCCTTCCTACTTATTCCGTCACTAATAATACAGACACCAAGACGAGCTATTCACATTTATATAAACACATACATACAAACAAAATTTTATCTCTATTTTTGAGCGCTAGCTCTTTTATTTTTTGCACTTTCCCGTTAACTATAATTGCGGGCCTGCAAACCGCGCACTTTCTCATCGTTGGTAATTTGAGTTTTTGGATTCTATTTTTATAGTAAGCCAATGCATATTGTGCGCGGAAAATTACTGAATAGCATTTTAAGCTTACTGAAAAGAGCCTTCAATAGAAGGAATTTAGTTGCCTAAGACACAACTTGAAGACTCTCTAGTTGCTCTCAGCTATTCATTCAATGTTGTCAAGTTTTTGGCAAGTGCGCTGTGGGGGAATGAGGTCAAATTGAGGCCACAATATGCGAAGAGATTTGCGAGTGTTGTAAAACGCGGGTTGTGATGCGTCATGCTTTGTGGGAGGCAACAAGCATGGATGAATTTTCCCCCGGGGGTGCACACACACACAACCACAAATATGTTGAGGAATGGATGTTTGTATGTACCGAGAGACAGACAAAATGTGTAGGTATGTATGGAGTGAGTAGAACAAAGCGAAGCGAATGACCGATTAATACAGAAAGTCAAAGATCTCAATATAACGGACTTCAATATTTTCCAATAACTAGCACTTATGTATATAGAACTATAACATATCGTGAATAAAATGACTGGTAATTATTGATGCGTCAACTTCTATTTTTTTGTATTGGTCACGTCGGCTAGCCCTATTCAGCCACAGGTAACTCATACAAATGCTTTAACTGTTATTATTATTATTTATAGCGGCTGTATCAGTATGTGTGCAAGTATTTACGTTGAAATTATGAGTAATGAACGGTGCGCAATCTGGATAAAACTTGAAATTGGACGTTCGCCGGTTCGATTCGAATCTCTTACGCTTTTGTTATTGTTTCGATGCTTTTGTTTATTGCCTAATGACAACACAAGCGGACGTCTAAATAAATATGGCTAAAATACATTAAGACAGACATGGTCATGTGTCGTATATTCAATGGCTATTGAAGGTATATAACAAAAGTCAAATCTTGTTTAACCAGTGGCGACCAACCTATATTTATTTACCACTCTATCTAATGAGCAAACAAAAAAGTGACCCGAAGCAGCGTCGACCATTTCCACAAAATGCAAAAAAAAAGAAACAAAAATTATCAGCTTACATACTGACACAATTTGAGTCATACGTACACATGTACATACGTTTGTATGTATGCCTTGTTTAGCCAGTGCTAAAAGTTCGGTTAAAACTGCCTTTAGCTAGTTTTTAGCGATATTAAGCTCGAAACGTGCAGTCGCTCGCCTAAAAAGCAAGATGCAAACATGGCCACTGAAGCAGCCAACTGCCCATGCTGGCTGGGTATGGCGAATGGAGCGTCACCGAGAATATCGGGAGAATGGGATGTGCTGCGTTATTTTTATGCTCAGAATACACATGTATGTATGTATGTACAAATGGCTGTGCTAAATAAAACTTAAGAGCAGCTGCACCCGACATATAATGTGCATATAGATATACTTATATGTGTATACACACACTAACACGATGGCCAATGCAAAAGCCTTTCATCATTATCAATAACATAATCGTCAATAAAATTCATACATATACATGTTTGTATATGTATGCATCTAGTTCGGTTATCCTATAAATTCCACGACACAAACACAAGAGCATGACGGTGAGGAAGTTGTCTTGCGGAAAATTATTGATTTTGTTTAAAACCGCATTCAACAAGTTTATGCTAAGCATTGCTTGGATGATTTACACTAAGAACTGTGTGGCTTACCTTTTGTATTTATTTAGAAAAAATGTGCCTTGTTGCTCCACTCATATAAATGAACTAGAAATGCACACTGTTAAAAACGACGCCACCTTCTCAAGTGAACGGTTTATTTAAAATGGACTACAACAGTGTGGCCGTAGGAGCTAACGCAAATATGACAATTATATTAAATACTAGACATATTTGCCATATTACCGGTAGCGGCCTTCTGTTACCCGATTTATAAATTAATTTTAACAGAATGGAGTAAACATTTTTATACCCTGAACTCACTTTTAAATATTGATATATTTTCAATAAATATTAGTTTTTAGAGATAGAACTATGCCAGATTCCTGAATTTAATAAAATTAAATACAATGTTACAACTTTTATAATCTGACATCACTTGTATTACAAATTAAACAAAAATTACATAAATCCAATTGTTTACATAGATGATTTTTTAAAAGTTATCTTTATAAATTAACGTCAACTGGCAATTAGTAAATAATGCTAGAACAATTTAAGCTGGCCACTTTTTGCAATAATCAGCTGATTAGCTATCGATAGCTTCGATCACTCCAACCAGAATATCGAAAAATGGGCAATTATTTAAATTGTTGAAGTCCACTGGAGGCGATTGAAGTTGGCTTATTGACCTGATTATATCAAGAGGTTTATCTGATAGACCTTTCCCCCACACCCAAATACAGAAGGCATTAGTTTACGTTGCCAACAAAATCATTAAAATTCTGTTGCTTGTAGTTAAATTTAAATTGTTTCATTTATTATAGAAAACGGATTTTGCAGGTCATTTAAAGTTATTAATTAACTTAGATCCTTGATGGGTACAGCATCTAAAAAATGTGCATAAGTTAAAATTTAGGCCACTTTAAAACCACGAAATGTAATTGTTACTTACAATGCGAATGCGGTGTCCCATGGCATGACCGGGCAAATTCCTGTTGAAGCGTGCACGCACAGACCCAGTGTTGCCGTGGATGCGTGTAACCTTGCCCCAAACAGCGCGGACTCGAGTCTTGCGCTCAGGATGCTGAGGTACACACTTCTTGGTCTGCGCTTTGTAGACATACACGCAGCGCTTGCCAACATAGAATTGGCCATGTTCCTTGCGACGAGCACCCTCAATCTGCAATACATATTATTTAAATATCTTAGTTACATATGTATGTATTACAAGACCATAAAAGCTTACCTTAAGGATAGCATGGTTCTCGTGCTGGTTCCTCAAACCGCGCTTGTAGCCGGTGAAGACAGCCTTTGCGAACAGACGGCCATGACGTTTGTATTTCTTGGTCGACACTTTCGTCTCAGTGGCGACAGCCTTCTCTGCCTTTGGGGCCTTAGCGGCCTTTGGCGCTTTAGCGGCTTTGGGTGCCTTTGCGGCCTTAGACGCAGCGGGCTTAGCTTGTGTGTCAGCCATAGTTCACTAAAAATATTCACAAAAGAGAAATTAAAGTTAAAACAGTGTGTTAAAATTGGATGTTATTTAAATTGATTTTTGACATTTGTTTTGATTGTCGGACTGGTGGGACACTTAGTTTTTAGCCATAAACATCGGAACGGTTACACTTTGTAAGGGCAAATAAAATGCTTAGTGCCATAATACACATATTGATCTATGCAAAGTCAAAATAATTTTTAGATTTAATCGTAATATTCCTGAATATTTTGATATTTTATAACGCATAGCATAAAATCCGCGTACGTACCGGAAATCTATCAAATGGCGAAAGAGGGAGACGATGACAGTTCTGTCAAACAGAGGTGCATTTCAGCTGTTTTCAATATCATATATCGATAGTGTGCAGGGCTGCATAGAAACTAGAACAAAATATATATATATATCGAATTGACTTGGAAAATAAGTCAAAAAATAAAAACAAAACTAAATATTATAATAACAATGTTTCTCGTTAGACAAAATTAAGAAAGTTATAAAATTAACTAGCACATGTACCTACTTCAATCTTTTATGTACTGCAATTACGTTGTAACACCATAACTGGCCATCGTCCCGCTATTGAGTTGCATAAAAGCTGGTCTAAGATACATTCAGGGCAATAACGGGCTGCTGCTGCACTTACTAAATATTGCAATTGACAACAAATGGGTATACTGCTTCACTTCTCCAGGTTGGAAAAGCGCTGGCAATTGCTGCAAAAATGTGATATTTTATTGAAGCGCCATATGAAAAAGCAGGCAGTTAGTCCAACCAAGTAAGAGATTTTTTCTAATTTTGAAAATATATATTTGTTGCGTGGGGGCTAAGGGGTTTGGGTGACGAACAGACTATAAGACGCCAGCAAACAAAAACAAACGTTGCATAATTAAATTCTCTTATATACAATGCTAGACTTGCCGAGGTCGGACGCCTGTTGGAAGCTAAAGAAGGCAAATACGATACCGGTCAACTGTTTTTGCACCGCATCTTTGGGTATCGCGGAGTGATACTTTTCCCATGGACGGCACGCGTATACGATCGTGATTTACACAATCCTAGAAAGCAGACGACAACGACAACAGCAACGGCAACAGCAACGCCTACTGCATGCACTACAGAGGCTTCACCACTTAGATTTAATGGAGGCAGTGGCGATAACAGTGGGACAGTAGGAGCTACACAGAGTGATGATGCTCCCACTGCATGGAATACAGCCACTACAGCCACCGACACGCAGAGTACCCAAAGTGTGGGTACCGCAAAACCAGCTACTAACGCCAACGCGAGTAGCTCAGTTGATGCCAAGGAGGTCAAAGGCAAAACGCAAACGTTTTATCAGGTGCTCATTGATACTAGGGACTGTCCCTACATTGTGAGTTATTTGTATTTCTGATTGTGTGTGTTTTTTTTTAAATTCACTAATTAATATCGCCTCTTTATTTTAGCGCGCTCAGACCGAGGCTGTCACTTTTTTGGGGAATCAGGACTCGAATCGCAGCTTGTACGCTATTCCTGGACTAGATTATGTTGCGCACGATGACATCATGCCATATAGCTCAACTGATAAGCATCCTTTGCAACACGAACTGTTTGATAAGTTTTTAACTTATGCTCCGGATGCTGAACCACCATTTGTGGGCCAGGATACACTGAAGGCGTGGCAGGAAAAGAATCACCCATGGTTGGACATGAGTGATGTACACAAAGAGACAACTGAAAATGTTCGCATAACAGTTATACCATTTTACATGGGATGCCGCGAGACGCCAGCATCTTCGGTTTATTGGGTGAGTATTAAAGATAAGATGTGAACTTCATTTGCTTATTTTACATCTCTCCTGTTTCAGTGGCGATATTGCATACGGCTGGAAAATCTTGGTGAACTTAGTGTACAACTGCGTGAGAGGCATTGGCGTATCTTTTCACTCTCTGGCACTCTGGAGACGGTGCGCGGACGCGGTGTCGTTGGCCAAGAGCCCATACTCAGTCCTCGACTTCCAGCGTTTCAATACAGTAGCCACGTAAGCTTGCAAGCGCCGAGCGGTCATATGTGGGGAACGTTTCGTCTAGAACGTGAGGATGGGTATGCTTTCGACTGCAAGATACCGCCCTTCTCTCTGGAGTCTAAACCAGATGATGTGAGCACACCTCCGGTTGGTGCACCCGCAAACGACGATGTGGATTAATGAATTTTAATAGACAATGGTTATTATTACAACTCAATATTATTTGACCATTCAGGAAGTACATGTGTTTAGGGCAAATAAAAAAAATTATTAGCAATTCCTAATCTAACCCAGCCTCACATTTTTGGTCTCCAGTTGTATTTGAAAGTCAAATGGACGCCGATTCTCATGTATGTCAAAGAGTGTTTGCAGTGCATCAATAGCGGCCGTCTCTGTAGCCGTCTGCACATTCTCACCAAATCCCTTGCCCAGAAGCTGGCGATCTGCATAAATACCGACTTGGAAAGTAGCCAGAAGTGTGTTTTTGCCACAGTCACCCAATAAACGGGGCTCTGGTTCACCCAATTTGCGTTGGTTGCAGATTTCGCTTAGCAACTCCAATGGTTGTTCAGGAGTCCATATATCTAACAAATCCTTTTGATTTAGTTGTGTGCAAATAAAATCACGCACAAACAGAAATGCGCGCTCCACACCACTTGAATCCGCTAATGCACCAATGATAGCATGTAGTGTCTCGGCAAGCGTCTCGTTGCTTGGTGGATACTCAGTGGAGAAAATGAGTTCTTTGGTGCCTAGATGCATGGATACATGCGATAGTGTTTCAGTGCTTAACAGGTACGACACAATCGCCTTTTGTCCAGCTGGTGGCAATTTGGGTAGTGAATGCTGAACATAGGCCTCTACGTAAGCCCTAGCTATATGTGCGCCTTTAGCTATTAGTTGTTTGTTGTCGCTTATTTGCAAATCAGCCTCTGCAATTCCAAGCTTCCGTTGGCGCTCCTGCTCCTGGTTCGCATAGGCCTGTTGTGTGAATGCTGTCTGGAGGATCGGCAACTGAAATTCCTCATTCAATCTCTTGCCAAACGCAAATAACTCTGAGCGATAGTTCCATTCAACAAATCCAGAACGCGGCTCTGGTTTTTGTGGTCCTTGTTTTTTAACGCGATGCGCAAGCTCACGTAACGTCGGTGAGACCCAGCGTTTGAAATTTCGCCGAGTTGGAACTGGTGAAAATAGTAATTAATGTATGAACTGAGTTAATAATTTATGACATACCTGAACCGGCAGTGTTAATAGGATTTGTAAGCGCTATTATTCTAACAACACTGCGTAATAAGGACATCGTTGGCTTATAATATTAGAAATATGCACGCAGTGTTTCGGTACATATGGATAACAGTATTGCCACCCCAAGATGTTTTTGGTTAACATTTTTCGATAGTTTTTTAATTGCAGCACTGTTTATTGTCGAAATCTGGTCACCTTAACGACGCCATGTCGCCGTTTGCATGAAAATTTTTATATGTGAGACTTGTGGAAATAAATTATTTGATAAAAACAATATATAATACGCATAAAACTGAGTACAGAGCATAAGCAGACTACCTAGTTAAAAGATGGCGCTGCAGACATATGGTGATAAGCCTGTGGCATTCCAACTGGAAGAGGGTGGCGAGTACTATTATGTGGGCTCGGAGGTGGGCAACTATATGCGGCACTTCCGTGGTATTCTCTATAAAAAGTACCCAGGAATGACACGTATTGTTCTCTCCAATGAGGAGAGAAAGCGTCTCGCCGATTCCGGTCTGAGCTCACACATATTAGCCAGTTCGGTGTCTCTGCTCCGAGCTGTAGAAGTTGATGATATTATGGCCGGCAATGATGAGAAGTGGGTTCAATTTCTCTAATATCAGTTTTACTTGTATATAAACAAAATAATTTTGAACTTTTAGATATCGTGCAGTTTCTGTAAATACCTCGGATACTCCAGTACCACGGGAGAGCAAATCCAAGAAGCAGCCACAGTATGTTCCAACCATGCCCAATTCAAGCCACCTTGACGCAGTGCCTCAGGCAACGCCAATAAATCGCAATCGGGTGCACACTAAAAAGGTACGCACATTTCCCATGTGCTTTGACGACACAGATCCAACAGCAAGTCTGGAGAATGCAGCACAGAAGGAGTGTTTAGTGCCCATACGTTTGGATATGGAATTGGAGGGACAAAAGCTACGTGATACTTTCACATGGAACAAAAACGAGAGCATGATAACACCTGAACAATTCGCTGAAGTTCTGTGCGATGATCTCGACTTGAATCCCCTGCCATTTGTTCCAGCCATTGCACAGGCCATACGGCAGCAAATCGAAGCGTTCCCCAACGACCCGCCCATACTGGAAGAAAGCTGCGACCAGCGCGTTATAGTTAAACTAAACATTCATGTGGGAAACACATCACTTGTTGATCAGGTCGAATGGGACATGTCGGAGAAGAACAACAATCCCGAAGAGTTCGCCATCAAACTATGCGCAGAACTAGGCTTGGGCGGTGAATTTGTTACAGCCATTGCATATAGTATACGGGGTCAATTGTCCTGGCATTGTCGCACATATGCATTTAGTGAGGCTCCATTATCCACCATCGATGTACCCTTCCGCAATCCCAGCGATGCGGATGCATGGGCGCCATTCCTAGAGACGCTGACTGATGCCGAAATGGAAAAGAAAATACGTGACCAGGACAGAAATACGCGACGCATGCGACGATTGGCTAATACAACAACAGGCTGGTAATCGAGGGTTCGGTTCAGTAACGCACTTATTTGTGAAGGCTACCCCAATTATTTTACTAAATCGTCGATTTTCCAGCTCTAATAATAGTGATTATAAATAAATCATATATAATCAGCGCTGGATACTGAAACTTATAAGGGATGTCGTCAGAATTAAGTGTATTCAGTTAATTATCTTAAACTAATTTATAATCACTATTAAACATACGCGTGAATTATTGTATCGTAAAACTGAATTCACCGAATTTAGTCGGCAATATATTTATATATATATAAATAATAAATACATTTCTGTCTATTTTAAAGCCAATAATGGCCATTCTGTTCATTCGTTTCTTTTTCTCTTATATAATATTAGAATATTTTATTAACTTTCCATTGAGTCGGGTTTGTCCTGATCATGTTCGCCATCGTAAAACTCATTCTTTGGCTCAACCATTTTATCCTCATCCGCCTGTGACATGCGTACATCAGGGTCTGTTTCTTCTTTTATACGCAGCTCTTCGAAATCAACGTCTCGCGGTGTTTGCACCATTTGCACGCTTGGCGAGTTCTGACACATTTTAAGGTTTTCATATACATGCTTTACGATCAGCTCCATATATTGTTTAGAATTTGCGTTGTCCTGCCGCGAATTTACATCCGGATGTAATGTGAAATCTGGCGCAAAGAAATCATAGTACTCCGTTGGAGGCAAATCATTAGATATCTCCTGATCGACAAGAAGCGATGTTTCGTGGGTCCAGCAGCGAGCAACGTTTCGTAAAGTGTAACCGCCGCCGCCCACAACTAATGTGGGCACATTCAGCGTTCTGACGAACTTCACGCACTCTCCATGGCCACGAGTACTAAGCGAGAAACATCCGAGACGATCTCCAGCCAATGAATCTGCACCGCATTGCAGCACAATTGCTGTAGGCCGATAGAATTCCATAATCGCTGAAATTATCGGTTTGAACACTTGAAAATAGCTGTGATCATCGATTCCCTCTTTGAGAGGAACATTAACGCTGTAATAACGACCAGACTCGGCGCCAATCTCATACATATCCCCAGTGCCCGGAAAGAAGTAATTGCCATATTTGTGGAAGGATGCTGTCATCACGCGATCCGTTAAATAGAATGCTTCCTGTACTCCATCGCCATGATGCACATCAATGTCGATGTAGAGAACTCGAGGATTATATTTCAGCAGCTCTAGTATGCCAATTACAATATCGTTGACGTAGCAGAAGCCAGAGGCCTCAAATTTCTTGGCATGATGCAGACCACCAGACCAATTGATACATATGTCGCTGTGGTTGTGGTTCAGTTTCTGCGCGCCCTCGAGAGAGGCGCCTGTGTACATGGCGCAAAAGTCAAAGAGGCCATCGAAGACGGGACAGTCTTCACCCACGCTAAAGTGAGCCAAATACTTAGTATAGGCGACGGCTGCAAGTATATCAATATATGTTGATATGTGATTCCTAGTCGTAGAGGTTTCACTTACAATTGCATTGAATATTCTGTGGAGTCACCTGCTGAAGGTAAGCGATGTATTCGTCACTATGAAACCGCAGCATATCTTGTGCACTAGCTCTGTAACGGGTAAAATATATAAAACTTAGCAATAATAATTAATAGAATAACAATTACTTACTTGTATGGTCTGTAGATTTTCATCTTTTTGTGCAAGCCATAGTTCATGACCAGGCTGTGAGTAACGGCTAATCGTTGCGGCTTCATTGGATGCCCCGCTCCATAGTGGAAATTGCCCACATCGGCATTGTAAAAGTATGAAACTCGTCTATCACTCATCCTTATATCATCTGCAAGCTAATCTCTGTCCAGTGCGACTCCCAATATGGGCAGTATATTGTTCTTTGCATATAGTACAATCAGCAGTACAGCCACAATAAATAAAAGTCGCCGTGTTGTAGTTAGCTCGTTCAAGCCAAATAACATACCGTTGCTCCAAAATCCTTATTTATTTATTATGTTTTTAGTTTCGGCAAAGCTGCATTATAAAACTCTTTAAAGTAGTTTGCGGCGAAGTTTCTATTTCACTTCATTATTAATTCTGGATTATACACTTATTTAATAACTGTAATACTTTTGTAAACATAGGTTCTGCACTATTTCCTTTCTAAACACTTAATCTTCGAAATTTTTCTTGATTGTTCTTTTTACGCGTGTTTTTTATGGGTTGCTTTTTGATGTTCATTCGGTTGTTAACTTAACATAGTATAATAATGTTATTAACATGACGACCGATAAAAATGGCATATCGATAATATGGGTTCTTTTATTTATAGGTATCGATCTATATCGAGGCTTGAACATAAAAATCAGCCACATTTTTAAACAAGCATGTAATGCTTGAAAACCTATATTAAATAACATAATATTGTATTTAATCTGATAAATACAAAAATAATTTAAACAAAATATGAACAAATACTTGAATATCCTAGCAAATTAGCTACATAGTTCTGTTAAATTAAACAGCTGATTCTAAAACGAATTACTGCGAATGGCACATTTTCTTATCTATCGTTTTGATAAGCATAAAAGCGTCCTCTGGAATCCGCGTGTGCAGTAATCAACAATAAATGTCATGACATAGCAGATTGCAAAAACTGTGTCAAACCGTTGCTAGGGAAGCGCGTAAAAGACAGTGCGCTCCAGACGTGATAAAAGCAAATCTAATTTGCCTACATTACGAAACCGCAGATTGATTTTATTACAAGGGGACCTATATTAGATAGTGTGTAGCTGTGTCAAGCAGTGGTGATACTTAAAATCTGAAGCTTCGCGACCGTTGCCCCCATTTTGTCCAAGATGTTAACCCTCTATTACGTGAGCGCCACTTTGGTGCAGTCCTGGCGTATTCAAAGGGCTTGCAACAAAATTGCTGAGCAATTAGCGCAGTCATCAAGCGTAGCGTTTTATGCACTACAATCTGGCAAAGACGATGGCTTCGGTAAGCCCAATACACTATTCATTTCATCGCGATTTACTATTGCCTTTTGCTAAAATAGATCCCACAATAGCCAGCTCGGAGCTGTGCTGTAATCGGAACGTGGCTAAGGTAACGGATATACTGTGGTTGCATGGCAACCAGCATGGCTGCTGCCTGCGTCCACTGCAATCAGTGCAAATTACGCCATGGATTAGCTTTCCACCAGCCCCAAGTTTGCTACCTTTCGCCTATGCTGCTGACACAGCAACCCCCACAGTAACTCCAACAGAAATCGAGCCGCAACCCAGAATAAGCCTGTCCTCGGATACGGCGCAGCATCTACAATTGTTGATCGAGGCTAATATTGATTTGCAACAGCGGGAAGCGAGCACAGAAAGCTGTGTACCGGTAAAGGTGAGTCTCAGCGCAGTTATCTACGCAGTTTGTGTAAGACTTAGAAGCGTTCTAAGCTTGCTGGACTAAGTGCCTGTTACTTTGGTTTTGCAATAGAGCAGTGTCGCGTGTGCTTGCTCAATAAAAATATTGCGTCATTTGAGCTATTTTCACTAGAGTGTATAGATGTGTGTTAATGCAGATGTGGCTTACCAATTCTCTTTTCATGGCTTACGTGATTCAACCTTATAACACATCGATAGCTGGAAAATTACGGTAAGCTAATTGCATGGAAAATAGATTCCCACCTGGCGGTGCTCATCGAAACGGATATTGAGCATTTCACAAAACTATTGATAATGACATTTTTACAAAATAATTTATACATTAATGATCAGCTGCCATTAATGAGGATTGAGTGTAAGCGCACTAGCTGATTGAATTTTAAACATACAAACAAGTATTTAAATATTAATCACCGCTTACGTTTGCAGCTGTGCAGCGCGAGGGTGAACCCCAGCCTTTTCAGCTGCTGGCTAATCATCTGAAGCGCCAATCCCGCAAGGCGGCCGAAGTCAGTGCAGAGGGCTGGCAAAAGCATCTGGAGGATTTGCGAGCTCTAGGCGTATTGGCTCATCAGGCTACTGAGTTCGAGCAGCAGAAGAACCGCAATGAATTGAAGCCCAGTACTCCTAAGCAGGAGCCCTTGTTGCAGCGACAGGAGCAGTCGCCCGTGGCAGCTCAAGCTAGTCTTAAGGCAGTGGCTGTAGTAGAGCCCACCACCAAGATATCGTCTCCTGCCAAGCCAACCCATCTGAAGCAGCCGACTCCAGTTGAACATCTCCTAAGCAAGCCTAGTGATTTCAATAAAGCGACTGCCACAACGAAGACTGAAAATCCATCAACCAACACCAGAGAAATGGAAAAGTCACCAGGAGTTCAGGACAATGCAGGCACGCCCATCGCAAAGGCATCTACACCGAGCAGAAGCTTTGTGGCTGTGAAGCCAAGTTCACCACCGTCCGAGACTCCATCCGCCGCCCGACCACGACCCATTTTGCGTCGTAATAAAAATAGCCTGGGCGAAAGTAAACCGCTAAATGTACTTGTCTACTCGGACAGCGCCAGTGCACGTGATTCGGCAATGGTTACACTGCGTCAAATCCTGGAACCAGACCTGTATACTATATATGCGCTAACACCACAGCAGGCGGCACAGAAACATTGGTTGGAGCAAACGGCGTTATTGGTGGTCTGTGGCTCTGTGGCTCCGTCTATTGGCCAGATATTAGTCGACTATTTTCTACACGGTGGCAAGGTCTTAAGTCTCTGTTCGGATATTCTACATTTTATATTACCCAATTATCGCACTGCGGAGGTTAGCTTCATAATTTCGCTAATAGAAAAATCAATACTTCAAGTTTATTTGTTTGTTCCAGGTTCGCGAGCACGAATTGGTTCAGTTTTCCTATGATAAATGGCAACGGGTGAAGATGATGCACCATATTTTTTGCTACCAGCCTTCTCCGGTTAAGAAAAACTTCTCCACCGACAGCGAGGAGTCGTCGGTCCAATCGCATTCACGTAAATCGTAAGTGGAGTTGCAAACTGTAAATAGCATACACTGCAAACATTGTCACACATTAAATAATCATTCATGAGCTAAATTGAAATTTCAATGTACCTCTACAAATCGACATTCAAATCAAGCGCATTCAAGTTTATCACACCCAACTGCCGATATAAATATATGTATATAAATTGCTTTAGGCTTTGGTCTTCACTTACAATGCATGTTTTACACGGTTATTCAGGCAGCCAAATCAAATTGCTGCATACTTGCAGGCGCCCGTAATATGATTTCGTATTGATGGTGTAATCGCCGCTAGAATTTATTTATTTAAATTTACTATATGTATATTTTTGGAACTAAATGTTGTGCCTCGAATAGCTAAACTAACATATTTAACAACTATCTTTAACTAATTCCAATCTATTTTGTGTTTCTCAAACCTTTCATGCTGAAATTGGTGCTATTTTTGTATATTATTTAACAACCGACTCGTTGATCTGAACTCATATATTCATATGTTTGAATCTATGTATTTTAATTATACTTGTGTATTTTTTTACGAAATTGCAATTGATATATTTTTACTACTACTTTTTACTAAAATTAAAATTATATTTTCTTTTTGAATTGGATTTTTTAAATATGCCAACATTTTTAAAATTTTCTCATTCAATTCTGTTATTGTGTGTGCCCCATTATTTTCCTTGCGTGTGATTTTGTTCTCTCTCTCTATTTTCTACTCTGTGATCGTGTGTGTGTGTATGTGCTATATGTGCCCATTGCTCTTATCCTACTTACCATTAACCAAAAATAAAAATGAAACGATAATACTCGCAACAACATATAACAAAATACAAACCAAAAAAAAAAAAAACAAATCAAAATACAAAACGAACGCCGCTTAGAGCTCTAGTATGTCCAAGGTCCATGGATTTAAAGGATTTGACCGGTCAGACACACCAGCTGGAAGTTAAAGTGTTGGGCACTGAGGAGACCTGGAATACACCTAGTCTGATGTTGGCAAAAAGCTTGCAAAGCGGCGGCAAAGCCGTTTTTTCTCAGGTTTGTGCAAAATAGTTCGCTCCCGGAAGCTCTCAGTGACGAGAATGGATTATTATTGGCAGGTTCACTTGGAGACTAATCCCAACGAGTTTGAGTTTGATGAAGTCAAGTTTGCAATCTTAAAGCAAAGCGAACGCATACGTATTGAAATCTTTACGGACCTGTTGAGCAAGTACCTGGAGGTGCAGGTGCGAGGTACCGACTCTGAAGGTGCTGCGTCTGCCGCAGTTGTTTTCAAACATGCATATTTCTTGGGTCGTCATGAGGTGAGATGTTTTCCATACTTAGGTTTAGCTTTGTGTTGCTAACCATTTCGTTATTTGCAGTCCAAGTTTGAGCTCCTGGAGAAGTTGCGTCCACGTTGCACCGGCAACGACAACGTCATCATAATGCCCAAATTATCTATCAAGTTCTGTGGCAAAGATGACAAGCCGCCGGCCGCAAACGCAAATGTATTACCCATTCTGATACATTCCTGTCCAGATGATTTCTCCACAGTTGATTACTTTGATGTTGGTGTTAACTCGCATACAAAATACAGTTGTATAAATACATATTATTAATACCTGACTTACAATTGCAGAATCTGAAAACGGAGCACATTGGACGCTTGGTCATCTATGCGCCAGTCTTAAGTAGCTCCATGCATGTCATCAACGACATGGAGCTAGTCCATGGCATTGTCGTGCTGCCGGTTCAACAGACAGCGGGAGTCGGTCGCAGTAATAATCAGGTAATTTATCTAATCTTTCTGCGTATATAAAAATTGTCTTAAACTAGTTCTCTTTCGCTTAATTAGTGGCTGAGTCCATTGGGATGCGCAATGTTCTCTACACAACTGCACATCGACATGGACTCGCCTTTGGCCACACGTCTACCGTTGATACAGCATCTGATTGGTGCTGCACTTGTGAATACTCTTCGAGGTCATAAGCTATATAGGGTAAGTGCTAATATAATATAAAAGTTGACGTCTTATTTGGATGATATGTATTTAGGGATGGTATCACAAAAGACGATAAAGTTAGCAATGAATCATACTTTATTGAATATTCTTATATCAATTTGAATCTTTATTGCTTCAATGAGGTCTCCTTAATGCCGATGCGCAATGCAAGTGGTACATTCCAATACTCTGAATCCACTGATTATATATGCCAGTATAATAATCTTGAATTATGAGGATTTGACAATATTTTTTGCATTTTGAGGTATATTATTTCAAGCCATCGCTAGGGGCGATTATTTCAGAATTGGATATAATTATTTTGAACATTCTTTAAAGCATTAAAGTTGTAATTGCTTCAATAAGAATCGCAATGCAATCTTTGAAGCTTGTAAACTTATCAGTTATACATATATACAAAATAAGAATGCTTTTTTATACTCTTCATACCCGGAACCCCTAAAATGAGTGAAAAGTTGGGCAATTGCATCAGATAGTAGTATTGAGCTTGGAAAAACTAAAGTAGATACTGGAGTTTTCAACAGAAAAACTATTTGTCGGTGGTTCAACATACAGCTCCAAAAACTTACTGCTCGTCGATATATGAGCCTAAGGTTTTCCATTGTTAAGTTCATATATAATCTTATATATTATTTCACTACAATGGCAGCCAGTTCATTCATATACAAGTTGCGTTACATGTCATGTATTTCCAATATTTTGATTTAAAAAGTAGAGCAGTCTGATCAAGGATATGGTGGATTGAACGGTGTCAACTCATTAATGTTTTCAGCCTTAGAGATGTACATATTTCTATTATTTTATTTGGGTGAATTTGGAAAGTAAATTATTTAAGACTCACTCTCACTCTGGGCTCAGGGTTAAAGGATAGCTAAGTCGGTAACAGCCGACAAGAGCGCTCTTAATTATTTTGTACATAAGTTTTTAGTAGCTTTCGGTTTTAATCGAAATTGGTCCAAAAACAATTAAAGTTTTTCACCACCTTTTTCTTGTTCTTTCTAATTTCAATCAAAACTGAAATGAGTTGGTTAGACTTTATGAAATTTACAAACATTAAAACCAAATGGAAATTTATGCATTTAATTTTTGATATTGCATTAGTTTTAGCTAATTGATTTGTTTGAATAAATTTAAGTTTTGTATTTATAGTTTATTTTGACATATTTTTTCTGTATATTTCGCATTCAATTTGTTTGCTATATACATTTTACATTACACATTTTTTAATATATGCGTTAATATATAGTTATATATGTATACACATTCATATATATATAGAACTTTGCTTATACATAATTAACAATTTTAAAATTGCTCACCTGATTTATGTTTACATTTCGATTTGCCACAGTGCTTGCTTTTCATTAATGTAGGTAATTTGTAATTTCTATATGCCTATTTAACGAATTCTGATTTGCTTGTTGTTCTTTAACGTTTAAACATTGTCTTTTAATTAAACATTTGTTTGCAATTCGTAATTGTAATTAAATTTAAAATTATTTTACAATGTATATGTATATGTAAATTGCTATAATTTGAATGAACATATACGTATATGTTTGCATTCATATACATATATGTACAAGGTTTGTTTCAGTTGTGTTTTGCTTTGCTTTTTTAATGTATATTTACAGTTATCGTTTTTATAACACATGCACTTTGAACTTTCCTTTGCGAGTCTTTGAGAGGCTGAGGAAGTGAGCTTTGCTCTCTGCAATCTCTCTTCCCCTTTTTATCGGAGAGCAGGTTTCATTTGACATTTCGCACGCACAACAATTACAGTTACATTTTGGGTTACACATGCGTATGAGTGTGGGTATGTGGCTATCTGTGTTTAAAAACATTTATATATATATATATATATATATATA